GAGAGGATTCATCGTTGCTTCAAAGGACCTTGGCCAGGATCTGCAAGGACAACAATGGTTTCACCTGCACAGGATTGCAGGTGGGTTCAGGGAAATGCCAGACATTTATTGCCGATTTTGCCAGTGTGTTTTTACAGTATGCACCCATGTCAAATGATTGATTTGGGGTGTTCCGGTGGCTCTTCCTCATGAGGCAGAGAAAGAAAAATGGCCAGCCAGATGTCCACAGTAGAAAGCAGCATATATGAAAGCTTTCAGTTAATTCTCACGGATCATGACGAAATATTTTCAAAGACCGAATAAAAATCAATTATGAGGTGGATCATTAAAAATTTTCCAGAAACCTCTGCTGACGAAATCCATACCATTGAATTTTGAGAATAAGTGGAAGTTAATTTGTACAACCTTTTGATCAAAAGGGACCACATTGCACCCCACATGCTCCCCACCTTCCACACCACCCTTGAGACCCTTCACCAGCAAGCAGCATGTTGAAAACTCAACCCATTGGTCACTCCTAACTCGGGACCTCCCCTGAAACCTGCCTTTATCAGAGCTTCCATGATGGTCCAAGATGGCAATGGCCATGCTGTCTTGGAGCGTCATGCCCTGGAGAGCTAAGCTGGAAGGAGCCCAAATGTGGCTCAAGAGCCCAACTATCCTCCCTCCATCTTGGCTCCTCCACTTCCTGCTACCACAACCTTCTCTTCTGCCCTGAACAAACCTCCAGACCCCACACCTACAACTGTGGGTCATGCCCCACTGTCAATCATTCCACTTCCACCCTGGGCCATGCCTCCAGAATGCCAGCCCAGATGTCTGCCATCTTAAATCAAGGCCCTTCCTCCCCAACACCTAACAAAATGGCAGTGGCCTTTGCCTCACACTCCAGCAACAATATAACCCCGTGGTCACAAATACTAAGCCCAACTGTCATACTATTTCTAATCCAAATGTTTCTGCTCAAGAGTATTCTTCCTCCTAAGAAGACAGTTTGGATTCCGCAGAGCGACCTTGCCCCTCAACCCCAGATCATGACTGGAAAAGGATCTGGAAAGAAGCAGTTAAGGAAGGAGACTGGCAATTAGCCTCAAAACTCCTCATTGCCCCCATATGTTATGAAAGAAGGGGACAGAATCCCAGGTATCAGCCATTGGTTTGAGGGGAAATCAAGGATCTGTGTAGGGCAGCTGAAGACCATAGGAGGGACTTTCCTTGTTTTAATGGCCTAATGAGGGCCATGTTTACAGCACATGTCGTAACCCCCTATGATTTAAAATGTATTATGACCATGTTGTTGTCACCTACAGAATACACCCTGCAGGAAGGGGGGTGGAAGTGTTTACTAAATCAATTAATTGCAGACTATGCTAATAATGAGGAAAGGTCTGAATTGACAATCAACCATCTAGCTGAAGAAAGAACAACACAGCCTACCAGATGATCGAGCATCAGGTATACCCAGAGAAGTATTGGATGATATCAGAGTTGGCTTTGCAAGCTTTAATCTAGGTATCGGAGGGTAGCACCCCCAGTTTGGACTACCTTGGGTGGCTGCATCTAAAGCTTTAGCACAATTAGACCATCTTGGGTGCCTGTTAAGTAAGCAAACCAATGCTACCTCCCTCACAATGAGTGGCCTGCTCTCAGACATAGAGACCATCAGACATGCCACCTTGCAGAACAGCGATAGAGTTTTTACTCGGGGCACATGGGCATGGCTGTGTAGACTCTGAGGGCATGTGTTACATGAAACTCTCCAGCCACAGAGAGTCAATCCACAAGAGCATTGAGGTACTGAAGGAATGGTTCAAGAATCTTCAAGTGGAAAACAGACTGGTTCAATAAACTCTTCCAATTCTGATGACTATAGGGTTGGATGATGTCTAGTGAAAACAGGACTATTAATTCTCTTAGTGGTTGTTGTTGTATTGTTAATTGTCCCATGTTTGTTTGGATGCTGTTAGAAAAGTCTTACAAAATTCTTTCAGTTCCATCTTTGTTGTTGTCAGGGTCCGTCCTAGTGGACAGATGACCTGATGGTTCATAGGAATGATCTCAGAGTGCAAAAACCAACACGGTACAAGGGAGTTTACAGTGATAATCAAATCAAATGCAGTTTTATTGAAATAACTACAGCAAAAATGCGATCGGGGGATAAAGGAAAAAAAAAAAGATGGAGAAAGAGAGAAAGAGGTGGGGAGAGGGGATATAGCTACCAATACAGAAACTAAGTCCTTTGGTCCAGTCCAGTCAAGGTTCCGCCTGCTACACTGGGGAGATCTCAAAGGCTCTAGCTAACTCAGAGGTTTTTATTACTGAAAATTGTGAAGGGGGGGAAACAGATACAGTAGGGAACAGATGTAACAGGTAGTCCATGTTCTCAGCACTAAATGAGAGCCATTGTTTTCTTGTTCCAGTGCTCACAACCTGCAGGCAAACATCTCACTTCGGTCAGCTTGCCTCCCCACACACCTCCCCCAGACTGGGGGTTTCAGTCCCAGTCCTTGGAAGGAGCAGAGGGGCCTTTTAGGAGTTTCATGTCTCAGTCCTTGGTGGAGAAGTTTCTTACATCTCAGTCTGTCTGTCACAGTGGTTCTAAAATAGGTGAGGGTCTTCTGTGGGAGACCACCCGAAACTCAGGAGAAGTCCAGCCAGGCCAAGAGGTGGGACAGCTTCCAGAGCTGCTATTGCTGCAAATAGGGCATGGTGCCCTCTTCTTAGCATACAGCAAACACTCCTGCAAAAACAATAGCTTAACACTGAACCTTCAGGTCTCAGAGCCCATGGCGTGTGACTTTTCTCCTTCAGAGCCAGATATAGACAGGGGGGGGGTCTTCTCTTCAGTGGTCTCCCAATGACGATTGTGAGGCAGATGAGGGAAAATTCCGACAGACTCTCAAAGTTGTAAAATAAAAAAGGGGAAGATAGCCAACACAGCCTCCTCATGGATACCTTGGAGGGGAGATTTGGAGGCAAGGATGATACGAAAACCTCTCAGAGACTCAGTGTGGGAAAGAAAATCCTTAAAAACTTGCTAAAAGCATTCTTAAATCCCTACAGTACTTTAAAAATCTTGAGTATCTCAAAGTATTAATGAGCACCACTGAGTGTCAGTACAAAGCTCTCAAGGGACTCGTTAAAGCAGATAATTGGGGCCATGATTGCACAAACCTCTCACAGAGTCTGTATCAAAAGGGAAACACCAAGTACCTTAAAATAACTGAAGTACCATGAAGTATTAATGAGCCGCACTGAGTGTTGTTACTGACAAAGCCTCTCCAGGGACTAATTACAGCAGATAATTGGAGGCCATGATTGCAGAAAGCTCTCAGAGACTCCAAGGCAAAAGCCAAACCCAAAGTCCTTTGAAAAACCTGCAGTCCCTGGAAGCATTAAGGAGCCCCCAGGGGCATTCCTGAGCAAGGCTCCCCAGGGACTCCTTCCAGCAGATCCTTGATGTGGGCTAGGTGGGGATGTGGGATGTGGGCTAGGGGGGGATGCTGAGAGTAGGACAAGGGGCTGACAGTGCCCAGCCTGGCTGGGGCTGTGCCAGGAGGCCCCAGGGCCTCAGGACAAGGTGTCTCCTCACAGCCCTTGGTGGCACAGAACTTGCGGTTGTTCCCCAGGGCACCGACACTTGGCTTCTTTTTGTCCCCACCTGCCATCACTGCCTCCAGTTCTCTGCTCTGCCTGGGGCCTGAGGACACTTTCTCAGTCGTGTCCCTCAATGGGACCCATTAAAAGTCCAAGAAACTTTGGAGTTGGATTCTGACCGGAGTTCTGGAGAGGTTTCTTCAGCTCCCTCTCAGGGACTGATGTTCAGGGCCTCAGCACAAAGCTCCAGAGGCTCATTAAAGTCCTTGTGCTGTGTCTGTGCTGCTGAGCTGGGCTGGGCTCCTGGCACAGAGGCAGCTCCTGGTAACCAAGAAGAGCTTCAAAAGCACATTTCTCTTGATGAGCAGCTTTTCTGCCAGCCCAGCAGGGCTGGGGCACTGCCTGCAGCCACCCCGGGCACAGCACAGAGGCACAGAGAGCTTCAATCAGTCAGGGCCGGGAAGGTGCTGAGAAGTGCCTGGGGCAGAATCACTGCCAGCCCTTGGCACAGGAACCTCTGGCTGCAGGACAATGCAGCTGCAGCTCCTGGAGCCATCTCCTCAAGCTGGAACATCCCAAAGCCTACAGACCCTGTGAGTACATTCTCTGATTGTCTCTTGTGCAGAGCAGCCAGGGGTGCCCAGGGCTGTCGTGCAGAGCAGGGTCCTGCAGCCCAGGGTGCTGTGCTGGGGCAGGGACTCTGCTGCCTGCCAGGGACAGCTCTCAGCCAGCCCTGGCAGCTGCTCCCAGCACTGGGGGACAAGATCTGGGTGTGAGGAGACAGCTGGTAAGGTTTGGAAGTGTTCTCCTTGTGTGGGGAGGCTTCTGCATTGTTCAGGACTGCTCCCAGCAAGGCATTTAACTGCAGAAATTAGAGAATACAGGGAGCACAGCAGGGAAGAGGCTGCATAAATGGGGATAACATGATTTTTTATTCTACTCTCCTGGGTTGCTGGGATGGAAACTGCACACAGATATTAATCTCTCATTTCAGGCTGAGAAAAATAATAAAAAATTCTCTGAGATCTTGCTAAACCAGGCACTGACAGAAATCAGCATAGGGTCCCTTAGATGAAGCACCAGTGTCGCTTTTCCAGTCTCCTCAGGGTTGCTCTGACGGTGCCTGCAGTGCCAGAGCTGCTGTTGGGCAGTGCCTAAGCTGGGAGGGCTCTGCAGGGCAGAGCTGAGCCCCCAGGGCTGGGCTGGGCTCTGGCAGCACTGGCAGGGCCCAGACCTGGGCACAGGGAAGCAGCTACTGGCAGGGACAGCTCCAGGCAGCAGAGCCCTGGGTAGGCAGTGGGGGGAAATTGTCCCCAGGCTGTGCTCGGATATTTTAGAACTTCTCCAAACCCAACTATTCCATTATTTCTTTCCTTACAGAACCCCATGCAGGGACAGAAAAAATGTCCAACAGCAGCTCCATCAGGAACTTCCTCCTGCTGCCATTGGCAGACACACGGCAGCTGCAGCTCCTGCGCTTCTGCCTCTTGCTGGGCATCTCCCTGGCTGCCCTCCTGGGCAACGGCCTCATCATCAGCGCTGTAGCCTGCAGCCACCACCTGCACACACCCATGCTCTTCTTCCTGCTCAACCTGGCCCTCAGCGACCTGGGCTCCATCTGCACCACTGTCCCCAAAGCCATGCACAATTCCCTCTGGGACACCAGGAACATCTCCTACACAGGATGTGCCGCTCAGCTCTTTTTCTTTCTGTTCTTCATTGGAACAGAATATTTCCTCCTGACCATCATGTGCTACGACCGCTACGTGTCCATCTGCAAACCCCTGCACTATTGGACCCTCCTGGGCAGCAGAGCTTGTGCCCACATGGCAGCAGCTGCCTGGGCCAGTGGCTTCCTCAATGCTCTCATGCACACAGCCAATACATTTTCCCTGCCCCTGTGCCATGGCAATGCCCTGGGCCAGTTTTTCTGTGAGGTACCCCAGATCCTCAAGCTCTCCTGCTCAAATTTGAACCTCAGAGAACTTGGGTTTCTTGTGTTTTCCATCTCCTTAGGACTGGGATGTTCTGTGTTCATTGTTTTCTCCTATGGTCAGATCTTCAAGGCTGTGCTGAGTATCCCCTCTGAGCAGGGACGGCACAAAGCCTTTTTCACCTGCCTCCCTCACCTGGCTGTGGTCTCCCTGTTCCTCAGCACTATCATATTTTCATATCTGAAGCCACCCACCATGTCCTCCCCATCCCTAGATCTGGCTCTGTCAGTTCTGTACTCGGTGGTGCCTCCAGCCCTGAACCCCCTCATCTACAGCCTGAGGAACCAGGAGCTCAAGGCTTCAGTGCAGACACTAATGAGTGCATGGTTTCAGAAGCATTAAGCTGCTTGCAGGTTTCTGCAATTCACTTGTACTAAAAGTCATCTTTGACAGTGTTTGGCTCTGGTGGTTTCATTGCTTTGTTTTATTTTTTTAATATTGTCCAGAAATAAGTGCCTTTGTTTGAGCCATTTCTCATTTCTTTTCTCTCCACATTCACTGTGGCCACAGACTGTTCCAATGAGGACTAGTGCTCTCAGTGGCTTTAAATAAACTAAAGGATGTCCCAGCAAAGTTTTCTGCAGAGATACCCATTTTGTTGCCTTCTCTGGAGCTGCAGCAGCAATGTCTGTGTGCAGAGCTGGGAGCAGGTTAGGGACAGCACAGCAGTTCTGCTCCTGCTGGCCACACTATTCCTGATCCAGGCCAGGAGCCATTGGCCTTCTTGGCCACCTGGGCACACTGCTGGCTCCTGTCCAGCCTGCTGTCCATCAGTCCACGAGGCCCTGCAATGTCACAATGGCCCCTTGCTTCCCCAGGGCCCTGCAGTGTCACAATCATCACAGAATCATAGAATTAATCAGGCTGGAAAAGACCTTGGAGATGATCAAGTCCAACCTGTGACCCAACACCACCCTGTCACCCAGACCATGGCACCGAGTGCCGCATCCAGTCATTCCTTAAGCACCTCCAGGGATGGTGAGTCCACCACCTCCCTGGGCAGCCTCTTGTAATGCCCAATCAGCATTTCTGTAAAGAACCTATTCCGAATGTCCAGCTGAAATGTCCCCTGGTGCAGCTTAAGGCTGTGTCCTCTTCTCCGGTCACCGTTCGCTGGGAGAAGAGCTCGATGCCCCTTGGCTGCACCCTCCTGTCAGGGAGTTGTAGAGAGTGATGAGGTCTCCAGGATAAAAAACCCCAGCTCCCTCAGCCTCTCCTCACAGGACTTGTGTTCCAGACCCCACCCCAGCCTTGTTGCCCTTCTGTGGACACACTCCAGCCCCTCCATGGCCTTCGTAAATTGGGGATCCAGTATTGGACACAGTACTCGAGGTGTGGCCTCACCAGTGCCGAATACAGGGGAAGAATCACTGCCCTGCTCCTGCTGGCCACACCATTCCTGATCCAGGCCAAGAGCCATTGGCCTTGCCCACCTGGGCATATGCAAAGTGCAGGACCCAGCACTTAGTCTTGTTAAACCTCACCTTGTTGGATTTGGGCCCTGGATCCAGCCTGTCAAGGTCCTTTGCAGAGCCCTCCTACCCTCCAGCACATCCACACTCACACCCAGCTTGGTGTCATCTGCAAATTTCCTCATGCTGGACTCAGTTCCATCATGCAGATCATCAATGCAGATACTGAAATCTGCGCTGGCTGGCTCTGATCCCTCAGCCATCCTGTGTGTGCCCTGTGATGGCACTCAAGGTGATCTGTTCCATAACCTTGCCGGGCACCCAGGTCAGGCTGACAGGCCTGGAGTTCCCCAGATCCTTCTTCCAGCCCTTCTTAGGGATGGGCTCACATTGGCACCTCGTCCTCTGGGACCTCCCTGGTGAGCCAGCACTGATGGTAAATGATGGAGAGCAGCTTGGGGAGCTCATCCACAGCTCCCTCATCCCCCTAGGATGGATCTCATCTTATCCCGTACACCTGTGATCATCTGAGTGGCTCAGCAGGTCCCCAGCTGCTTCCTCCTGGATTACAGGGGGGCTGTTCTGCTCCCTGTGCCCATCTACCAGCTCAGGAGAACACTTGTCCTGAGGACAACCTGTCTTACTGTCGAAAACTGAGGCAAAGAAGGAGTTAAATATCTCAGCCTTTCCCTCATCTTTAGTTACTCTATTCCGCACTGCATCCAACAATGAATAGAGGTTCTCCTCACACTTCCTTCACTATTAATTTATTTATACAAATATTTTTTATTATTTTTCACCAAAGTGGTCAGGTTAACCTCTAATTGAACTTTCGCATCTCCGCTTTCCCTTCTGCATGGCCTAACAACATTCTAAAACACACTCTGAGTTGCCAGTCCTCCTTTCCAAAGGTGATGCACCTTCTTTTTTCCACTGAGTTCCCACAAAAGCTCCATGACCAGCCAGGACAGTAATTTTCCTAGCTTGCTCATCTTTTGGCACAGAGGGTCAGGCTGCTCCTTCCCCCTTACGATTAGTTTCTTTAAGTGTGTCCATCCTTCCTGGATGCCTTTGTTTTTAAGGGATGTTTCCCTTAAAAAATCAGTACCTGATTCAGTGTTCTCCAAATCTGCATCCCGAATAGGCCAAGGTCTGCCCTCTCTAATTCCAGTGTAGACATTTTGTTGATGCCACTCCTTCTTTCACAGGATGTTGAAAACTTGATTTTTTTATGGTCAGTGTTCCCCAGGCAGCCTCCAATCACCACATCTGCCACCAGCTCTTCTCTGTTTGTGAGCAGCAGCAGACAGAGCTTTCCTTGGCAGTGGGAGTGTTACCAAAATTTTGGCAAAATAATAAAACTCCATAACCCCAATGTAGCATTAAGAAGCAGCATTCTTTATTTGGCCAGATATATGGGGGCATAGCTCCTCCCAAAGCCATGCATGCTGAGTACAGGAAAGTTTCTGTTTATGTTCTGTATTTTGCATACATATTCATTGATTGTCCTGGACTAAACATACATATGATAATCATTTCCCCAAAATCGTTAACATATTTGCCCTTCCCTTTACCCATGCATTCTCCTGTCCTAGGGGTCTCTGGTGGTCCCTGGTGGCTGTGGACCCCAATGTGCCAGTGGGCCTGGCTGAGCTGGCAGGACACTGGGGCTGGTGAATTTCAGTTCCCCTTCTCACACAATGAGCATTGTGTGGTTTCATAGGCCAGTAGTTTTGAAGAATGAGCATTGTGTGTGCTCACCTGGTGTAGACGATTTATCATCTGGTAACATGAGATCACAGAGTAAGCCGTGACATCACAGAGGTTTTGTGACATCATAGCAGCTACGGCATTGTAGGCTGTCTCTGTGACATAACAGAGCCAGCTGTGAAATCACAGGACAGAGGTCTGACATCATAGAGGATATTATGACACCACAGAGCTGGCTGTGACATCAGAGACCAGATGTGTGACATGATAGTATGAGCTGTGACATCACAGAGCAGGCTAAAACATAACCAGGGAGTGCAAGGCTCACTCCACCGTGCCTGCAGGGCAGGGCATAAGCAAAAATGTGGCTGGTACGCTCCCATAGTTTGAAAAAGGCAGGTTGTGTTAGTTCCCAAGCCATCCCCTTCCAAACAAGCAAAATGTATAGCCTCACTCTATTTCTTTCATACCAAATAAGCAAAGTGTGTAGCCTCTGCTCCTCATATCCAGCATCCTTCCTCTTGGTGTGGGTGTCTCATTATCCAGGCTTCTAGGCTCTCAGGTCCACCCACTTTTTTTCAGGCTCTCTGGTCTGCCTGGCAATAACTCCTCCAGATTTTTAGGCTCTCAGGCTCTTGGTCCACCTGGCTCAGTTTCCAAGCTCGTAGTCAACCTGGCTCCACCATCTTATTGCTCTTAGGTCCACAGTCATCTGACTGAATTGCCTCAGGATCACGTCGGGGTCACCAGATGTCGCAGTTGGGGGTACAATGGACACCAAAGAAGGCTTCAAGTATCAGCCCTTTATTGTTCTTCAGTACAACCTTTTATATCCTTCATCTTACACACATTGCACCTGTGTGCCCTCTGTACCCTTTTGTAGTTAGTCAGTACACCTCAGCACTCCATGTCTCATTGCCTTTAATACTGTTCACCTGTCCTGGATGGTTGTAGCCCTTAGGGATGAGGCTCAGCCACAGCCCCAATTACCACAAACGGTGTGCCTACAATTCCTCTTTTTTTCCTTTTAAATAAATGCCATGTCTACCATACCTCTACAGGGCCCTTGCAGAAGAAATAGCAAACATGGTACAAGTATCCCTTGTGTAGATTCCACTAACTCTAGAATGCATCCATGTGCTGACCTTGATTTTTTCCCCAAACTTACAACGTCTACCATCAAAAATCCTTATACCTCCACTTCTAGACTATTGACAATACCAATAGTTGTACAACTTTATAAGGCAACACACAAGAATAAGCTAAAGGCCATATATTAGGATAGTAACAAAATCAACAGCTACATAATTTTATCAATAGATATACAACTTGAACAATATCAATAACTATACAATTTCATATAATAACATACAAGGATAAGAGAGAGTCTATATCTTCCTATCACCCACATGTTTTTGCTTATTCCAAGGAGTCAAGTGAGCCATAGCCAGGTTCATTGTTTGAGTGCAAGCTGAATGCAATGAGAAGGCCGCCACTGAACTCCAGTATCTGTTGAGTGTACTTATGCATATAGAATATAAATTTTTACACTTATGCCTAATCAAAGATTAATAGCTGCAATTCACAAAAAAATACACATTTTATTAGCAAAAAAATACATTGTACTGAACAGCAGAGCTACTCTGTCCCCAGCTCCCAATGCCACTTTAATATTTCTATTCTTCCCTTAACAGTTTTTTTGTATTAATTGGTGACTGCAAGCCTCTCTTGTCCCGCTCTGTGTTGTTGTATGGCACTAAATAGTTTATTTAGTTGTTGTTTGAATTGGGTGATGGGAAATTTGTACTGAGTATGTTATGTCACGGAGATTGTTATTCCCCCTCTCTCATCACATGGTCTCTCCCCCATACATGCCCTGTTACACACACCTGGTGGTCTGTTCCCTGGTTACCCCTCGCCTCGCCCCTACCCAATGGTATCCCATTGGCCACGGTCCTCTTTCCCTGCCCCCATACCCTTGGGTTCAAAACTCCACTGCAGGCATGTTACGCAGTCTTTTCTACTTGGATGGTCACCACAACCAAAAGGTCCTGTCCCAAGCCAATAAACAGGATACTCGTCCCCATGTGGAGAAGAGTGCTTCTCGTCTTTTATTTCTGTCCATGCAAGACCATTTGGGCTAGGGTTTGAGCTAGCCAGATTGGACCCATACAACAGCCCAGAGACACATGGATTCTTGCAGGTGGTGCCCCACGTGGT